TGGTGGTGTTTGCTTTTACCATCTGAGCATGTCACCATTACAAGTAAAAACCATTTGACGGATATGTTGATGACGGGGAAATGAAAGCATTTGTAGTTTTGTGTTGACCTTCGGACTGTCGAACACTGCTTCACCCACCTGCCTAGGATTAGTGATTCTATCCTCATAAAAATAGAACATTTGAATTTTATCTAGTAGAGAAAATGTCGTATTTCATTCGGTGAGAGTATCTGAACTATTTATTCGATTTTAACAAACTTTATCCTTTTAACAGACATTTGATAAATACATATACCGGTAGTTATGTGAATTCAGATTTATCCGATGCATCCATCGAAAGTACAATAAACAATAAATTCGTAATCATAATTAATTAATACATAATTTACTGCTATCAGAGTCAATTCATAGAGAAACACATAACGCAAGTACAAACAAGTAGGAGTGGTTATATAAAAATTGTGATTTTGAAGAAGAAAGAAACATATCCCACAATCTTAACAAATGTTATTGTCGAAATTGTTGACTTGCGATGATTGGTTTATTTATTGAGGTTTGTCCAAAGTCCGATTCCCTGAATTTGAAAGTGAAAATTTAGTAAACTTGCAACCTCGCGGGATGCGTTTTTTTTTTATCTTATTTAAGATAATGATCCTTCCGCAGGTTCACCTACGGAAACTTTGTTACGACTTTTACTTCCTCTAAACGATCAAGTTCGATCGTCTTCTCGGCGCGCGAGCGAGGCCGGCAGAACCAGTCCCCGCCGCGTGCCGATCCGAAGATCTCACTAAACCGTTCAATCGGTAGTAGCGACGGGCGGTGTGTACAAAGGGCAGGGACGTAATCGACACGAGCTTATGACTCGCGCCTACTGGGAATTCCTCGTTCAAGGGAAATAATTACTAGCTATATATTATGAACAACACAGTGCGGTGACTTCAACATGCTATTCCCGACTCGGTGTTTCTTTGTTATTGATGTTCTTTTGTTTACACACTCGTATACTAGTACTAGTACTAGTACTTGTAATGTTTCATTTGCAGTCTGGGCTAAGACTGATTGGATTAACAACACGAAGAAATACGACATTCTCGAGCATACTCCATACATTTCAATATGAAGATAGTCTACCATCTTTACCAGTACCGCCATTGCAACAGACGCTCAATAAATATATAGAGTCCGGTATGTATTCATAAATATGAGATAATATGATCACAATACACATCTATGTGACATTTATTTATATAAATATGATCGCCCAGTACTATTGAACGCGCATGTATATTATAATGCAAAAGTACTATGTGTACATTTGTTCATCAATATATTGTAAATATATATTGGTAGTGGATGATGGTACTATATTCAGTGTACATTCAGTGTTATTATTCTGCAATCATACATTTAACAGAATAACATATCCGTTCTTCACTGATGGTCACGAGGCTGTTTTTATATATACCCCCGGTATATATTATTTATTTTTGCAACCTTACGACAGTTTGCCGTTTCTACAGCCATTATAAGAGTTACAAGCAAAGTTTGTGTCTTCTTTTTCCTCTGCCACGGATTATTTAGCCATCCACATCTTTAAAAAAAGCGATTAATCAGAAACTTGTGGAACTTGATTTGAATGTGTACAGAGTCAAACAATTTCCTCCACTATCTTGGTATGGCGGCTGTCTTGGAATAAAGTTGAACCGGAAGTGGTCATATTGAACCCTTTCCTCGGGTTTTTGCTTTATGATTATTTGGTGTGGCATTATTGGTACATGGGCTATTTCAAATGCCACGTGACTTTTCTACGTCACATTGAATGTTACGAAAAAATCATCTTCTTCACACTCACGGAGTACTTTTCTTTACTTACTATTTTTTTATATTTTAAAAAAGTCCGTCACAGTCTGGGTTGTAGTTAGGGCTGACGTCCATACAATAGGTACACCCAACAAACAAGTTACAAAAACAAAAAAGTAAACAGGACAAATGACTATATATGCGATATGTCATGTAACATTACTATGTGTTGCTATTGTGTGCGAGTTTTAGAATTTTTCACTAAGATTACTTGTAAAAGAGTTTAAACTAGAAGCCACCCTAGCGATACTGGGGTCATTCCAACCTCGTATATTTCAGTACATCTTTCCTACATGTTAACATGTTCAGTTTGTATATTATATATATTTAAGAACCCTAAATGATCACTTGTGATGGCTGCATTTATGTAAACTATTGTTAGTCATGGTTAATAACATGGTTTACATTTCTACGATCGTAAGTACTTGACTAATTTAAATTACTATGTAATTGTAGATTTATTTGAAAATTAGTATTATTAATTAACTATTCACAAATCTCTTTATGATTGGTCATGTGGTTTGGCCACTAACTTATATTGTTTCTAAACAAGACCTAGTTTTATACTAATGCCACATTTAGCTAATCGGTCCACAGGCAGCAAAAAAATATTCGAATCAGTCACATGACTTGGTCGCCATCTTGGATGACCGTCAACATTAGCAAACATTTTTAGCATTTGTTTTTCATGAGTGCTTTAACCGATTGACTTAAAAATTAGTCAGGTAGTATGGCCTCAATTAATAATTTTGATCAGCCAAGCTGCTGTCTGTTTCGGTAGCAATATTGGATTGAATTTAAATTAAAATTGATCTTTAAAATAACACATATCCAATTAGTATATCGCCCTTTTGCGGTCAAAAATTATATCTGGATCACAGATGAGCTGAAATTTGATTTTCCACTTGGCTTAGTATTTTAATAAAACAAGACATGAATGTCACAGTCCACTTCATTTAATTATAATATACTCTTGTTAAAATATTACACAGATTGCATATGTAATCTATGTGGGTACAACTCATCATAAAGTGATTTCCCTGAATCTAGTATTGTACTGATAACTGAAAACTTTCATTGACCCGTGTCCAAAATCTCAGAGTACACAAGTGCAACCAAACTATGTCTCATACATGTATACATGCTCAAGAAACTGCATTAATAAATCTGAGTAAACTTTAATGTACCTTTAATAACAACTTAACTTCTTTGTTAATTCAGGTCTTTGTATATTATCAGGACAAATTTAAACTGCTAAAAATATTAAAATGTCCACAGACGTATGTAATTTGAGAAAATATGGCTCTCACAAAACTGAAGCAGTTTACAGCACCACTGTAAAAAATAAAATAAAATAAAAACAGTTGAGAGTTATAATTAAGTATAACTAATATAGTTTTGAAAAAAAACATGTGGGTACATACATGTAAGACATGGCATAGAAAATAATTATTTCAAGGATACTAACTAACTGTAAATATAACACAAGGAATAAATTTTGGACAGTGAAAGAGCAATAATTTCACATTAGTATCAGTATTGAATAATTCCACAGCACTTAAATACATGTGCCAATCTCAGTGATTCGAGAAATTAGTATCTGTTAACTAAATATGTTTTTTGAGAAACAAAAACAAGAATTGTCTTTTCATTATATCTCTAAGCTTAGCTCAGTGACATTAGATAAAAAAAGTCATATAATTATTGATATAAATTCTAATATTGTTGAAACATTTGAACAAATTAAATCTAGTCATTTTTCTTTGTAAATACATTATCTTCTGATATTTTTTTTTATTTCCAGTGTTCTCCCCGGAAAATTGTCTCAGGGTTGCGGCGAATTTGCAACTTTAATTTGCATACTAATTAACATAATGTATAGTTATATTTTTTAAATAAACATGGTTTACTGTATACAGTGAAACACGTTTAGTTAAATGGAATATATTGCCTATAATATATTAGTCAATATAGTTAATTGGTTACAATTATATACTATTTTTATCTGAAGTTTTGAAAACAAAATTATAACTATGAAATCATCTTTAAAATTGAGAATTACGTGAATTTGACCTCCTCCCTCTCTAATCCTTTATTTTAATACTCCCCTAATAGCTTTGCGAACATGCTTGTAATTAGCATACATGTCAACAGTAAAAAAACATGGTATAATCTATCTCAGTCGGAGTCTGTTGTTTATTTGCTTGCTCAAAATTGAAGTTAATAGGTGATTTTCCGTACAATTGCGAGATCTCGCGAGATGCATGAAAGACGCGCGTCGAACGTCTGCCGCAAAAATCGAACGATTTGATTTTGAACTAGAATTCTTTATTTCGTAGCTTACATTGACCGGCCGATCTTCGACAGAGGAATATTGCTTGAGGAATACCCTTACTTAATCGAAATTGCCTATCATAAAATGTGGACAGCACATTATTGAGCATGGAAATGTCCCCGAAATACTTTCGCGTTTGTCGAATCCCACGCGATGTTTGACGCGACTACGACGCTATGACCTTTGTTTGTCCTGTTTTTACGTTCGATTTCACGCATAACGCGTGATTCTCGCAGTGAACGGAAAATGGTCTATTGTGCTAGCTGAACATTTAAATTTTACCCATGACCAGCAAGAAAATAAATAGCTGATTAGGAGAATGTGTATATGGTTCGATTTACCGATAAACGTCCTTCGTTGTGGCAAGCCTTTCACAGTCAACGATGTAGGTCGGTCACAGATGTAATCATTTCTCCGGCACTCTCGGGTATCGCTTATACTTCAAAGCTAATTTGAAAGTGATAATAGATACATTGATACTGAATTACGGTACTTCTCCATTTCATCATTGCTCTCAAGCAGTCTCAGTTGGCCGAACTTGACTTGTGTTATGGTAATTCTGGTATAGTGCGTTGTTGCGTTTATTTGCCCCAAGGCATTCAATTTTAATGAAAATGGAGAACCTACCATTGCAAACACGTCTCTTATGTTCCCTTCTTGATGTTCCTGCAATCAAACACAATTACTAGTTCTTCTAGTAACTAGTAAATGAGTATAATACATTGCACTGCCGAATGGAGAGCTCATGTTCTGTAAGCAGCCTTACTTACAGATCTAACCTACTAGTAATTAATTTATTCTGAGCATGTGCACTTGTTCTGTCAGTGTTGTTGGCAAAGGTAATTTTTGATGAAAATCATGAAAAAGACCAATTCTAATCTGGAAAAAAAATTCAGTGCATATCCAGCTGAATATTGTTCATCAACCTTCAAAGTTTCATTGATATCTGCTACAGAATTTCTGAAAAGATGTTGAAGACGGAAAATGGAAACTATAGTCCCCTTTTCAGGCTGCGCCTTAACAGAATCTAATTATACTTAGCTATGTTATATTTGTGTTGAGTGCTACAAGAAACACAGCAGATTACATATACCGAACACATTAAAAAAAAATTCTTGTAATCAGGTAATCAGTAATGCTACTGGCAATTTTAATATTCATATTCTCGTTTCTTCAACATTAGTTAAACCTCACGTTTCATCGGAAGAACTGGAGAACACGCGGCGCATCGTGAAATCATTCTATGACGGTATCGGAAAAGAGCTTCATGAGAAGTTACTGAAGAAAGCAAGCAAGGAAAGGAATTGGGTAACCTTTAATGCTCACCCCGATGTAACCAGAAACTCCTAGTTATAGTCATTTTTAACGCGTGAGGGGCTGTTTTTTAATGTTGGCAGTGTGCGCAATGCATCATGGTTACGAATAGCGCAACTGATAGTTTTGAACAGATAAGTTAGTGAGGTTACTACCAATATCATACGATCTAAACTACCCGATCGCGGCTTTAATTCCAAACGTTGTTTGTATCTACATGTCATATACGTTTATGCATGTCACCATATATACGTACATATAGAAAGTAAATTAGACGGAATACATTGTAAGCTAAATACTCTGTTAAATCTTAATAAACATGTACTACTTTTGTGACTGGAACCGATGCTTGTGTACGGTATCAGGGGGAAAATCTCTTCTTTCTCGGGG